CGTTACTTCCTCCGTTACGATGGGGAACAGAACGTGGCTGGTCGACTCCCCGCGGCGTGTCCCCGAGGCGAAGGTGGGCAAAGCAAGTGGAAAAGAAGAAAATGAAGAAAACGAGCCTTCCGCTGAAAGGCACGACGACCCTTCGATCGCGGACACGGCAAAATCGACAAATTTCGCGTCCCGATCGCGTGAAATAACGCATCCGGAACTTCCGCGGCGGAAATGATTTCAAAATTGTGCGGCTTACGTTACGCAGGTTGAATAATCGTCGTCGTCGTCGTCGTCATCATCGTTGACTTCGTCGCCCAACTCGTGCGGCTGCGGTTACGCGCGTCGCTCTCCAAGGAACTCGCGGTATACCGATGCATTGTTCACGATCCCGTTCCGGGTGATCTTTTTCCGGAGGGAAAAGGAAACTTCGGGCTGTCCATCGCGGGTTGGCGCACGTACGGATTGCGAGGTGCACGACGCGTGCTCGTCGCCGAATGACTGTACGTCTCGAGAGTTCCATCTTCCACCAGCTAGCGTAGCGGCGACTCTAGCTAGCAGAGCTGGAGATGGTGGTGGTGGTAGAGCTGGTGGAGAAGGAGGATGGCGGGGAAGGGGGCTAAGTGGAGGTTACGCGGGGCGATGCACACGTAAGACCGTGTGTGCCGTGAGGAGCGTATAGCGTGTGCATACGCGCGACTTCGTGTCGCAGCACCTCATCAGGATTTCCTTCCCTCCACCTTCCTGAACGTCACGGAAATGTTCCCGAAAAACGTTTTCTTCGTCCAGGTCGGGTCGCGTTTTCCACACATAGTGAAATTTATTTGACAAACCGCGAGCCACGTATTTTCCACGTGGAAACGCGTAAACGCTTTTACTTCTCCTTCAATCCTAGTCCACCCCGTAAAGAGAAGGAAAATGGAATTGTTTAATCACTAATCAGAGATGGAATGACGAAGGGTAGCAAGAGCTAGATGTTTATGCAAAATATGTAACGATAAACGGATAAATCTATATTGGTTAATAGAATGACGATTAATTTTTTATATTTGAAAACCCTTTCGGCAATAAACAGTTCTAAAATCAAAGTCATAAAGAGTCGCTGTTACACAACAATCGCGGGCAAAATTATTTAGAAGTCGGGCGTAAAATAACTAGACCGTTTGCCATTAGAACGCAATCGTGTGTACGAACGCACAACGCGTCGCTGTTATTAACGCAGGCGTCGACAGGACATTTTTTATCGGCCCCTATGGTAGCGCGTTTGCTGCGGGCACAGCTGAAGGAAATGGGAGAACATTTTGACGAGAGCGCGCGGTAATCGCCGTAGGAAGATCGGCACAGAGAGACTCGTCTTTTCCGCCTGCACGCCCAGAGGGAAAACAATTAGGAACAATTAGATACAAATTTTAAACAGAAAGGAGGAAAGAGATATACGTTGTCAACGAGACACAATGAATCATGGAAGGATAACGACAAAAAGAACGACTATATATAAGCATCACAGATACTCGTATTTTATTATTTGATGTGTTACTTGTGGGATCGCCTTTGGTCTCTCGCAGTTACCTCGCAGTTACGCGAAATTATTTTTGACAAAAGACATAAAGGGAGTAGAAAAAGAACCAAAGTCGAAGAAATAACAAGTGGAACTACAGGTCGCAATACATAATATATATCTTCGTGGAATATATACAGCGCGATGTTAATGGCGTTCTACCGATGTTGTTCTTTCCTGCGCGATATTACTCTACCCTTACGGAAAAATACTACAGAAAGACTACTGTAGTTGCGAAGAAAGTACACAAAACTACAGTAAATATTACAGTAATTGCTACAGTTTTGTGTGTTTTTTTTTCGCCAACTACATTAGCTTTTTCCATAATGGTGGTACAACCTTGCACAATTTTTTATCCCTCCAATAATTGTAAATACAACGTCATATTGCTTACGAAACCGTGAAATTAACGAGATCGATTACGGGGAGTGGAGCAAGTGATGCGTTCCATGGAAAAAAGAAAAACAACGTAAACTTATTTTTTTTTAAATGAGTGTGCGAATAGCGAGACATATTGGGTCTATTTCTTTTAGCTGCACTGATGGCTGAACTGGGCTGAACTGGTGCAATAAGTTAGAGTGAAACAACATGTTTCACTCTAACTTATTGCACCAGTTCAGCCCAGTTCAGGCAATGCAGCTAAAAAAAACCAGACCCGTTGAAATAAGTTGAAAACAAGCGAACGGCGCCAGGTCGCAAAGTAGAATAATTGGCAGAATAGTAATAACGACGTATCGCTAACCTTGGCAAATTTTCCAAAAGACCTTTCGTATCTGCTTTTAACTTTATCGCACAAATGGCACTTCGGCTAACTTCCGCGCAGGAGCCCGCGTAGGCCTGTATTTATAGGCACCCGATTGAAAGAGTAGCCATAGCCACTATCGCTGAAAAACTGAGCAACCCCCGATCGCGTACTGCTTATCGCACTTCGGAGCGTTATCGAGACGACGCCGACGGTGAAACAGCGGGGGTGGTACGTGAACTGCTAATCGAAATCGATCGAGCCTCTCTCTTTCTCTGTTATTATATCACAGAATATGAAGTTTATTGTTATTATGCCACGAAGAAATCCCGGTATTCCGCGAATCCGCTAAAAAGTTCGCACTGTTAAATATTAAAGGATAAAATTTAATACACACCAATATCTTGAGTTAAATAATGTTTTGTTATTTTTAACTACCATGTGTGTCAAAATTTATTATTTTAACCCCAAACAGTGTTATTTTACCTCCACTGATTTAGTTAAATTAACATTGCATGGTTTGCTATAGGACGATGTATTGTACCATAAATTCACGCGAATAATATTATTAGACGACCAAGATCCAGTCCTGACCGTAATGGCCTTTTCTCTAATTTGATTAAATTAACATTGTTTTAATTAAATTAACGACACATCGAGCAGGAGTAGTGGCGACCTATAGAAATGGTTAAAAATGATTCAAATTGAGTATAATTTAGCACTGCAGATTTAAAAGTGTAATTTCTCGCGCACGTTACGACCGGCGAGAACGGCGAGACTGGCGAATTCGAGAACATATGTATATTATTATATATTTTGTTTCTTTTTCTATTTTTTGGGGGAATTTTTTTGGAATTTGGTGCGCAGCTGTCTGATTACTCATTGTGTAAACGCGCGGGGATGCCTCGGGCACTCGTCATCATCGATTGAGATTCGCGTTTTGAACGAAAAACGTGAAATTTCTCTATATCATTTAAACTACAAGTAATGTATTAGGCAATTTTCTGAACTGATGCGCTCGTTTCGATAGAGACTCCAAGGACTATTGATGCACTATACTCACGTAACTAAGCGCGGGCGATGAATCATCGCGTCATCCTTTCTGCCTTCCACATTTTCTGCCTTTACAATATAAAGGAATTGAAAAACCGACGTGCTCTTGTCTCTCCCGCACTTCTGCCACGTTATCGATTATCAGGAATGAAGAATGACGTGGCGTTTAATATACAAAGTTTAATATACAACGTTCTCTCGTCGTCCTTTCAATTTACGGCAATTCGCATTTACATCTCTTCGATTTTGCACGCAGGCCACACGTCTCTTGACGCGTCGCAACGATTTTGAAAGTAATATCAAACATCCGATAAATTGTTTCAATGTAAATACGACAAATATACGCGCACACACGCGCGTCGTTGACGCGGAAAAAAGAAGGGAAGGAAAAGATTGGGTAAAAGACGGTTGTTGATTCGCCCGAAAGAAGAAGTAAAAAGAAATTCTCTTCCCGGAGAAATTCGTGACACATTCCACGGCAAGTGAGACCGATCCTTTGTTGATCCAAGATACGTAATAAAGTGTAAGAACGCAGCCGACGACGTGTTACCTTCTTATCTTCCGTTCCTAACGCACGTTCTACAAATCTACACAATGAAAGGTTGAGACGTGAAACAGAAATCTGAAACGTTATTCGGGCCGATGATACCGGGCATCGCTCGGGCCTTTTCGTAAGTACTCTTAATTATATCTCGTCAATCCCATTTTCTTTTCTCTTATTGTTTTCTTTTTTTCCAGAAACGCACGTTCCTTTTTCCGCCGCGGGGTCAAAGTCCGCCGTGTCGAAACGCCGCTGATTCGCGTGCAATCGTCACCAGACGGTGTATATCACAATGGTTTCGGGAAATATAACGGAAATCCGACGACGCGACATCGAATTATATTATACGATGTTCTATACGCCAACGAAACAAAAGAGTTTCTTATCTAGGTGGTGATAAGGAAAAAAAATGGTCTTCCCGCTATTAACAATTACTATCGGCTATCCGCTAAGGCTAAATAATGCCAAACGGCTAGTTGCCGTTATCGCGCGGGTGCTTTTGCTTCTCGCACACATGTACAAATACGCGAGCGCGCGCACGCGTATTATCGTACTTGCAACCTAATGAGCGGCAGCAGCGCGGGTAACTTAAAGACAATGAATCGCTCTATTATTACAATGATGTAACAACAATGAATTATCGCGGTGATGTGGAGGCCCCGGGAGTCTCGGCTCTGTTAACGAGGAAAGGGGCCCCGAGAGGTGGTGGAGACGCGCGGCGACGCTCCGCGCGATTTATAGGTCACGTAATCGCGAGCGGTTCTTACATTTGAAGAGGTGATAACCAGCGCGTCGAACGTTCGCGAAAAATCGCGCTTGCCACTTGCGCGTCCGTTCGAAAAAAAAAATTAAGAGAAGGAAGAAGCGGGACGCGACCGTCGTTCTTTGTCCGTTTCCATCTCCTATTTTCCGTTTGCCCACCGACATGCAACGTCATACCTTTTAACCAACGACGAGAAATAATTGTGTCGACCGTTTCCACATTGCCTCGAAATACCGCAAAAAGTCGAATGCAAATAGCATAGACGTTTTTCTTTTTCTTCTTTTTTATCTTTCCTTGACCGTTAGCAGCTTCTCGCGGCAATGCCGAGTTATTTAATATGGAATCATCGACTTACCGATTCCTTGGACTTTGCGTTTATCTCGATGACGGTTCGCTGCAGCTCGCAATTCTGCCGGCGCAGAAGAGAAATCTGTATACGACAGAGAGACGATTCTTATGTAAGTTACACATATATAAATTAAAATCACGTGTAAAAAAAGAAATTGCGCCAAGGTTATAACTATTGCATATATTCATATAACACGCCAATTCCTCTTCGCTCCTTTCTCATGCGCGTTATGCACGTGTCACCTCGTTATGGTATTAAAAAAAAAAAAAACGATAACAGGCATTAATATTTATATTATTATTATTAGATCTTATTATCGACATATTATTGAGATAATTTTTCAAATTTTAACGCTATTAATAGAACGAGCGATAACGGGGATATCGAAAAGCGATCGAGGGCAAGTAGTTTGAAACGGCTGCTCGGAAATAAATAATCCCCCATAAATTCGGAGCAACAAATGTTATTGCCGATTATCGCGATTGTCGCCAAGCAAAGAGAGACAGACCGCTTTTGGCGTTCGGATCTGCGCTCGCGGAGGGATTATTGTCTGTGAAATATTCGGTAAGAATCCCGCCGCGAGCCGATCCGGGATCCGGGCGCTCAAGACGATCGCGCGTTGTCCCCCGGCTTAAATATTAGGAAGCACAGTCAGAAGGAAGTCCGGTGGTGCCTCGTGGATATACACAGGACGTACGATGCGCGTTTACATTTGCCGCTCTTATCTTACGTTTGCATTGCGATAACGGTCCCCCACCCTCTCACGATCCTCGATGCGTTATCTCGAGCATGACCCCTGGGTACCCCGCCAAAACCCCTCGTCCCCCGGACGCGGGGGTTTCCCCACCGAGCCCCCGTCGGCCATTCGCCGCGAGGTAAAAAAAACGGTCGTATAGGTATAGGTATATGAAGTGCCTCACAATCGTGATGCTCTTTCACTAATCCAGGAAATATCTTCGAACACGAGTTCGTAATCAGAGATATATTTTTCTTTCCACTTTCAGGTACCTACATATTCTTCCCGCCGGCCCGCCCGAGCCGTCTTCGACCGATCTGAAAGACCCCGCGTGATCGTAACATCATTATAACGGATAAGGCGGAATGCGCGGTGTGTTTGCTCTACACTCGTTCGCGATTATTGGGGAACGCGACATCTGTTAAAATAATTTCTAATCACAACGCAGCCCTTTCCCCCTTATCTGGACTAGCAGACATCTGTGCGTATATCGAGCGTGACTTTTTTGGTATTTTTTTTTTTTTTTCACGACGACGTGGGAAATACACCCACGAAGGTTATCAGCGAGAATCGTTTATAAGAGGAAGTCGTGAACGCGCGTGTCGATGAGTTATAAATTAATCACCCGACTGCACTTCGGATATATCTCTTTTCACGACTGTGAAATTGTGAATATAATATTATATAAATATAATATACAAGCTATATGTAATATAAACTAATTTGCAATGTAATACAAATACACTCACTTCCGCGTCTTTCGTGGTGAGCAGATCTTGCAGTTGGCTGCATCTTTCGTCCGCCTCCTTCAATGCCTTTGATCGTTCGTCTGGAAAATCGAAATAGACAATGGTTAAAATTAATTAACTGCGATCGCGCTCGCTCGCGTACTAGTCAGTGTTATGAAACTTGTATTATTAATTTATATACATGAATTTATATACGTACATGAAAAAATAACCAGGAAATAATTATTATGGTAATTTTTTAAATAAATCATCCCTAAGATGTAAAATTTTTCCCGCAGAAATCCAGATAGAAAATGTCGATGAAGGATCATGAACACAAAATTGAAACGAAACACGTAAAATTAATTTAGCAGAAAAAATAAAACAATACATTTTTAGAAATAATGAAAATCAGTATTAATTTTCTGGTTTTCAAATCTATTCGATATAATATTCATGTGTGAATTCTCGATCAGTGTTAATTTCGTTATATTTAGTAATATTTTAATATAAAATATAAATTTTATCTTTTTTGTAATTTATTCAAATGTAAAATTTTACTATAAAATTGTTATATTTAGTAATATTTTAATATAAAATATAAAATAAAAATATTACTAAATATAACAATTTTACATTTGAATAAATTACAAAAAAGATAAAATTTTTTTTATTGATCAATAAGTATATACTGTTTTGATTACAGCCGCTAAGAAGATTTTATAAGTATCGATCGAGAGCAGTTTCGCGCGAACCACGTGATTAAACGAACTCGGTCGGTAACAGTTTCTCGATAAGGCAGAACCGTCATTTGACAGCCGTAACCTAACCCTTTACTGGAAAGAAAAATTACGCATTACGAATACATCGAGATCACAGAGTCGCATTACGATTTCGGGACATTGGTGTACGCACCTATTTCGTCAACGATACCGTCGGACAGGACCTCCTTCGTGAAATTCGTGATCTGTCCCTTTAAACTGGAGAGGCTGGACAAACTATCACCGAACCACGCCATTTTACGCGTTAACACGGCGAACGTTGCTTGTGTTATTTGTTATTCCTTAAGTACCCTGGCATTTATCACTGTGGACGATCGTAGCGCGTTTGACACATCGCGATGACGAAAAACTCCGACTCGTTATGCCTGTATGTACGAATTACAAAACATGCCAACACGTATACCACTCGACAGCAGACAGATTGAAACACTTCCTTCTGGATGAGTTTTGTGACGCATCGAATCGTAAAGCGCGAACCACTTGTTCACGGATCAGCGCAGTGAGCAATTATGCCAACTGTCGAGGTCGCTCAAGGAAATTTAAAAAGGTATGACGTTTAATTTGATTCAATTTCAAAAAATTAAAAAAAAAAAAACATTTAATTTAAATAATAAATATATATTAACATGAAGATATTTCAACAATTAAGGGCTGGTCGTTCCAACTTGGTAAACTAACTAATAATAAAATCATATATGTCTTTGTTTTTCCTTCAAATTAAACAAGGATAGATTTAACTATTAGTAAAAGTTTACCAATAGGTTGGAACAACCGGCTCTGTCAGATGCAATGCGAACCTACATCGATGCGCAATCCGTTTGAATGAGCTTTTATGTGTTATCATAAACATAACCTCTTTTTTTTTTTTACAGAACATGCAAGAAGCACGTAGCGAGCAGTATAGCGGAAGATGTTTCGAATATATAAAATAAATAAATATAGTCAAATTAAATGACGAAGAGCATTTATAACGCCAAAAGTAAGTAATAATAAAAACTATGTTACATAATATATGTTGAATAACTTCAATTTAAAAATAATGAGGTGCCATGTCCGTGACTGGTTTTATATCAATCCAATGAGATGTCCTTAAATGGCTTAAATTTTCTTTCGTCTTCTGTAATTGAAATGTTATTCACAGTCTTGACATATAGTATGTTTTATTTATCTCAATATCTAAACTTGCATCCTGAATATGTGTATTATATGCATGTAAAAATTTCCCTTATTTAGGGTGATGTTCATATAGTCTAATCTTGTATTTAAAAATAAAGATATATCACTTTAAGGTTTTGAGATTACATCCAGTGAATAAATTAATGACCTTATGGTATTCTATAAAATCGTATTTAAATATAAAATCTAATTATTGATATCCCTCTGACAAATTATAAATATCTATGTTGAAGATTATCTTTTATACAATTATTAAAGAAATTAAAAATTATTATTGAACACTATTATTCTTTTTATTTTATATTATAAATTTTAATTGACGATTGTTTGAAATTTTCATAACTGAAAATTGACGTTTCATCTACATATATTGTAAATAAAGAATATTTTAAAAAATAAAATTGCTATATCTGTAAAAATATACAAGATAATTATCGATAATATATGCCAAAGATTTTTTATATTTCCGCGTTTTATTTTATATTTTTATTTCAATAAAGACTCTAATAAAGTGCTCGAATATATAGAAGCTGTTTGTCATGCTGTCATATTCCATTCCCAATATTATATTATAGCTCGATTATAATTGCGAGGTTATTACTTTGAAATTGTATCATTCATAAGCGGAAACATAATTTGTGACGTGCGAATGACTGCAATTTCGGAAATGTTATCCCGAATTATCGATTTTTGCCGCAAGTGCAGCGTATCCGCGCGTTGCTAATTTATTTTTACTGAAAATATACTCGCCGCGCATGGAAACCAATGTTATTTCTGTCGTTACGTCTCCCTCGCCCCCGTTATAACGACTCGAAAATTGGAGAGTCGCTTGATGAAACGCATACAAATTGCGTCACTGCGTCTGAGAAACGCAAGGAGGACCTCCCAAAGCACATAATTTTGTTTCCGTTACCGATCTCGAGATGTCTGCGCGAAGATAAGAAAGGTCTAGGCAAACGTAACAATATAAACAAAAATTTAAGTCATACATAAATAAAAACATTGTGGATAGAGAAGATATAGCATAAGTTCTGGTAATCAAGATATCATTACCAAATGATTACATATATGTAAAAGATACAAATACGACGCAAAATTTGTATATAAAAATAAACGATGTTTGTACATTGCGTGTCCTCTGTTTTTCTCAATTGGCATACGAGTTATTATTCCCGCGAACGGATGTATCGCTGAAGTACGTGCAGAAAATATTCTAATCAATATCGGTATGCAAAGTACACGGAAGAGAGCTCGAAAAATAATCTGGAAAACGGATATACGCGCGTATATATTCGGCTGGCCATGCGTGGTGCAAATTTTATCGCGTGACCTTCGCGCCGTTCCCTCTACTCTGCAGGGTAGAGCGATAGAGCGAAATTGCAGCGTCGTCGCTATATATCTCGTAAACATTAGCTTCACTTACATTTATTGATTTATTTAAAAAAATACTAGCTCCTCTCCAAACGAGCCACGAATCTAGAAGAATAACGGAACGCAAAATGCTATAAATAGAAGCGTCGATAAGAGTCTAACTTTAGATCCGTGTAAACTTTAGATTGCGTTACTCCTATCCTGTTATCTATGCTTAAAAAAAAATAGATAAACATCGTCTTACTTGCACCGCGTAAGTCTGATCCCCGCGATATTTGCCGAGCGATAATGCGTCCCTCAATGAGCTCTGTTACACGGCCATCATTAATTGGGTTTAGTAACTATCGTGTACTATATATGTCCAATTGATTCAAATGTTCAAAATATAAAATAGGCTTACATTTAAGTCATCAAGATCATTATGATAAGAAGAAAAAATTTGGATGGGATAGTATACAGTAGTTGTAAAACCGAACTATATATAAGTCGTATATAAACGTAGTCAATGTAACTTTAACGCCGGAGATCCTTCTTATTTTCGGCAGTCTTACATTTACGTCAATTACGCTGACACATTTCGACGCGACGAAATTGCACAGCGCGATTTTAAATAGCGTCGAGGTCAACAGCACGAGAAAGTTATTATTTTTCACTCGATAAACACCATTATATATATATATATATATATACGTACTTAAAATTCTTCTTTAAAAACATCCCCGAACGAATTTTTCCATAAAGCTTCTTGGAACGAGCGCGACGGCGAGGAAAAGCCTGGGATTTTAACGGTAGTGATAAAATATCTCCGAAGAAAATCGCGCGCACGTGGTCCCCTCCCCCCGCGAAAATTTCTGTCGGCGCCCATGAGGTAGAATTGGGGACGGTGTGGAGCGCCCCCTCTCTCGAGGACGCAGCGGCGAGGAAATCCTAACCATAGGGGCGAAGCGAGGAGATCCGCGGTGGTAGGGGGCGGCGCGGCGATGGTGGCGGTGGTTCCGACGATAGGGGTGGCGCGCGGGCGCGAGCGCCATCTGGCCGTTCAGTGCCCGGCCACCCTCCTCGGTACTCGGTACACCCCGTGTGCCGTGTGTGTGCGTGACTCGCGCTCGCGGCTTCCGGATTATCGCGGCTAGTTTTGCGGGCCCCCCGAGGATCGCGGACACCAGTAGTGCACCGTGCCTTAAAATACAGTGACCAGTGTATGCCTTGAACGCGACGCGACAAAAAGGTAATTATCAACGGTGATGGTGGTGGCGGGCGACCGCGCGAGAGCGGCTGTCTCTCTCGCTCTCCTCCCGTTCGGAGAGAGCAGTGAGAGGTCGGTGAGATGTACGAAGTAACTGGAAGAACGGGAGGCGACGGCGACGGCGACGACGACGGAGGTGGCGGTGTAAAGAGAGAAAGTGGAGCGCGCGAGTAAGGTAACGACGACGACGGCGGCGGCGGATCGCTCGCGTCGCGGAGGATCCTCGCTCTCCTCGCGAGGCGACGTCGAGGAGAGTAGGCGCACGCGAGTCGACAAATCGATCCGCCCGCCTGCCGCCCCGATACCACGGCGCGATATTCCATATTCCTCGCGCGAGCTGCTGCGACCCATGCGCGGGTATACGACTAGAGAGAGAAAAACGATCGCGCGAGGGAGCAACGTCGTCTTCGCGCGGGCGATGTTTCCGAGTCGCTCTCCCCCTTCAGGCGCCTCCCCCTCGCCCGCGAGGCCGATATCGGCGACGTAGTATCGGGGCCGAAGGCGAGCGCGTCCACACCAGGGGCGGAGAGAGACTCTTCAGGCCCTTCAGGGTTCGCTTACCGAGACTACCGAGAGAGAGAGAGAGAGAAAGAGGTAAACGGCGCGCGCGAGGATATCGGCGCGCCGCTCTCGGTGCACCCGCGGTGATGGAAACGTGGGCCGCCTACCTCCTCGTCGACGCTCGGCCGCGTCCGTCGGGTCTGCCTCCCGATTGATCGTCGGTGCGGCGCGGCGCGGCGCGACGCGACGCGCGTCATCGTCGTCCGTTCGTTGTTCGAGTCCCCGCTCGCGCTCGGCGGGTAGTAGGCGCGTGTCCGGACGGCGACGTGGAAAACGATCTCCCCGATCTCGATCTCCCGAGGCGAGGCTGCGTACGCGCGGGGACGGGGATACGGGATGATCGGGTGGACGAACGCGCGCTGGTGACGGTTTTTCTCGCAGCCGGTGCATGCGCCGTGTCGCCGGAACCCGCGCGTCGGCGGAGAACGGAGAAGACGCGACCGGAGAACGGAGTTTGAATCTTTGTGGGGTTCCCCCGCGATCGCTGCTCGATTCTTCTCCGACGAGTTCTTCTTCCCCTCATCCGGAACGCGTAAAGGCCGGTTTTCACACGCAATGATTGGTGGCGCCAGGCCGCGCCAGTCGACTAACGCCAGTAAAAATGCAAGTGTAAACACTTGATACAAACTGGCGCTAGTAATGTGGCGTTTACTGGCGGTTGTTGGCCAAAGCATATAACCTCAAATTTGGAGGTTATATGCTTGCTGTCATTTACTGTGTGTTTAATAAATGTTAAATATTTTCCATAGTATACGCCAATCACTGTGTAAATACTTGTGAGTTTGCTAGTCGGTTCTGGCGCCAGTGAATGCCAGTCAGTTGGCGCCACTAATCATTGCGTGTGAAAACCGGCCTTTAGGCGTAAGGGAGACCTTTCGTCGCGCGAGAATGACGCGAGATCGCGAACCCGAGAGAGCCCGATTTAGTTTCTCTCGAGATTAATTATTAAGGCGCGTTTAATTATCGCGACTGTTCTCCCGGTGCCTCCTCCCGTCTCCGCGAGAGACGTCGTGACCTCGTATGTGTTTTTCCCGAAGTAGTTTCCCGTCGGACTCGGTCGACGTGACTCGGTCTTGTCGCCTCCTCCGTCCGACAATTAAGCTCGAAACGTGACTCCGCTTCAACACACGTCAACACACGTCCGTTACGATGTCGAATTTATGCGGAGCTAGCAGCGAGCCGAGTCAGGTGGCGAGTTATTTACTTTAGCTTACAACGAGAGAGACGAGAGTGGAGGTAAGCGAACGATTTTCTGCTTTGTTGCGTCTGCCCTTTGGCTTCGCGTGTAAATCATCCCGGATATGGAACGAGAGCCGGAATCGTGTCAGGAAAAACGCTTATCTTCCTTGAGCTGCTTATTTACTTTGAGAAAATGTAAGGATAATTCGCTCTTTTGACTCTCTCTCCAGCTACGCGCATTCCCGGTTTAACGACAAACTTTTTTTTACGCCAAGTTAACGGGCAGGCAAGTTTGAAAAATAGAGCGAGATACTTATTTACCTTATTCAGAGGGAATAAGTAATTCAGAGGATTTTCCTCTGAAACTCAGAGTTAATTTTCAGGAGAGTTAATTTTTAAGGGAGTTAATTCAGGGGAGAGTTAATTTAGGGGCCGAGTGAGAGGCTCGTTTCTATCTGATTCTCTTCCCTGGTTTTTTCCCCCGCTTTCCGATCTTTTCTCTAGCTCACCTTGCCCCGACTCGCCTTTCCCCCGTGTTTCGTGCAAGCTCGACGTTACGCTCAAACGTGGATACGCGACGTTAGTGGAGAAGCGAATCGCCGGCAATATTTCAGTCAATTTATCTAATCTCTCGGTATTCTTTCGCAAGCGCGAGATAGGCAAATCGCTCTGCTTTCTTACCACTGACTTCTTATATGTTTGGGCTCTGGGAAAAATTAAAGACGAAAATAACCCACTTTGGGGCACGATTACGCGTAAAAATCGTAATTAGCTATTCTATCTATTTCAAAGATTTTTAAGTTATATTAGTCAATTCTCTCAATTAGTTCTTAAGCCCATTCTACAATATCCGTAAAAGTATGCGTTAAGACGTAAGCAGTAAGCTATTGACTATTGGGATTTTTACAATCCAAGAATGATCGACTGTAGTCGATTTTTACTGGTCAATTTTTACTGCTTACGTCTTAACGCATACTTTTACGGCTATTGTAGAATGGGCTTTAGTCGATATGCAGTTACGCAAAAATAATTTTCACTTAAGGGGCACTAACCAAAATGTTAATTAGGGTTACGATATCCAAATAATTTGATTATCTAAAATTGTGGGTCCCAGAGTGGGTTATATTTTTCCCAGAGGCGGCGTGAGTGCCGTTCCTCGGCGATGACTCGCAACGTCGTCCCTCGGACGTTCGGTGCAAATGCAAATACATACGCACCCGCATACGTACGCACGCAACACACACACAACACACAATACACACACACACACACGGCGAGTCGATCGATTTTCCGTTCTCGATTCCGCGGCGCCCGCGGTGTGCAATGATCGGCGGCGAGCCGAGCGATACACCCGCGCGCGCATACACACGTACCACACACGGGGGATTCACGCGGGTTTTCTGTGCCGTTTCTCACGTAGGTCGTCAAGTCTCGGGTTGACGAAGCGTTCTGCGATAGCGATGCGATCGTTCCTATATAGCTATAGACACGAGCGACGACGGATGGAATCGCCGCGACTCCGCGTCGGAGAACCGGGAGAGTTTGAGGATCTAGGTACGTAGCAGTTTTTCACTCTGTCCCTCTTGTCGGCTATCTCTCTATCCCGAGGCGATAAAAATCACCGGCGAGCGATCTCTGTCCGGGAAACGACGGGACGTTCGGACGGACGGAAGGTCGGTTTAATTAACGGGCGGAGGTGGACGCAGACTTTACACAAGATAACGAAGAGCACCACTTACGGCTTGATATCTTTTTTCCACCGATCTGAATCTCAGGACGATTTGATCTTTCGATTAGTAGTACAACAGAAAAACTTGATTTTATGATAATAGTAACGTGGACCTTCTGCTTTATCGGATAATTAATTTCACCTCGCTCTCTCGTATATTATTACACGTATGCCAAAACGAAAAGGTCTGTCTGGGTTCGATTGCAACCGTACATAAAGAATAGTACATAAAGAACGTAAAATAAAACGAAGTCGAAAATATTTAGCATTCGTTCCTTGCCTGCCATGTGTGTCTGTGTGTCACGTGCGTGGTTAATTGAACTCGAGCTCGTAAAAACTGTTGACGTAGCGGTCCGGATTGCTCCAATCGAGAACGCTGTAACTCTCTCTCTCTTCTTCATTCCTCTTTCACCCCTTCTCTTCCTTTCTCTCTCTTTCAGACGCACGCTGATTTTCCCCCAAGTATTCACGACACACCACGTATAGCGCATCCGCGCGTAGTTCGTTGATCGTCCAATCTTAATACAGGCAAGACGTCCCCTCCCCCGGGATGTACAATCAAGTTTGATTAATCCTCTGTGGCGCACAATCTTGTTTAACATAAACAAGGCGGACCAGTAGATGAGGGTCTGAAATTTAATAGTGAGCAAAACAAACGATTTCTGTATCAAAAGAGCTTTTTCCCTCCACGTACAAACACTGTAAACACGGAGTTCTCTTCGACATGGTTTTTTTCCATGCCTTGCGAGACTTTCAGATTAGATGTTGCTCGTTACAGTATTTGTATTCCCAAAATTAATTAGCAAGTAAACTTGGCGCTCGACTTGGCGGTTTTTAAATTATCTGGCTCTGTAACATTTAATTCCGTCAGCTTTCGCGTAGATAGGCTCTTGCCTTTGATTTAATTGCTTAACTACTATGTATTGTTGTACTTTTGGTTATCAGGCTACTTTCATACATTGGGATTTCACTTTATATAAAATTAAATTATATAAAATGTATTAAAATTAAATCTCTTTTATATATATTAGAGAGAGAGAAAGAGAGAGAGAGAGAGAGAGAGAGAGAGAGAGAGAGAGAGAGAGAGAATGAGAACAGTTTTCAGAGAATAAAATTCAATCAGAGAACAGGATCTGCCAGTGAGATTAACGAGAATCATTGTCAGAGGTCAAAATCCTACCGTGTGTGATTCAGTTAACAATAGTGACGGAAAAGCTCGAATTTTTTTTTTTCGAGCTTCGATTCGATTAAAAACTCCATAATACGTGGAGATTGGAGAATATAATTTTACAATCAATGTAACGAAATTTAATGACTAAATCGGCGTAACGTTAACAATAGAACGCGAGCGAGATGTCGATTCGATAAAAGCATTTTCGGAAACCTGCTTTTTTCGAATCCGATGAAAAAGAGGGCACAGGCTAGGATAGGAAAAAAAACCTCGGGCACGCTGATTTACAACCGATCGCCCAGCGATATGAAGTATTCGACGTTCGCGATCCGCCGGAGTGAC